CCCCCAACCCCCCAACCCCCCAAACGAAACTTCTCTGTTCAAAGTTTTCTTTGCGGATTCGGGGAGATCTCGGTGAGCGCAGTCCAACCATGTTTTCAAAAAAATAAAATAAAAAAAAATTGACCCACTTTTGGACCCAACCGGAATTCCGGTTGGACCACCGGGGGTCCAACCGGCCCGGTTGGATCCGGGCCGGTCCAACTGGCCGGTTGCCGGCACAGGCATGGCTGGCTCTCAATTATTCTATCCATCTATCTACTTTATAAAAACCCTAAAGTTCTCTTACTTCTTTCGTTACAGTTGCCATGACTTCCCAACTTTGTGCCGCAGATCGCTTTCATCTGACAGGGGATGGACTGATTGTGGACGTCAGATGTGTTTTCTGGCCTGCAGTTTGTTTTGATCCCTCCAATGGATTTCACACGAGGAAAAGAGAAGAGAAAAGAGAGAGAGGAAAAAGGAAAAGTAAAAACAAAAAAACGGAAATGTGGAAAAAGAAAAAGTTGCAAGCCCGATGCCTAGCGCTGCGTAACACAGTGCTAACGAGTCCCTTGGCGGTGTCCGGGCAACGAGGGATCGCACAGACGCTGTCGCGAGCGTGATTGCGCCGAGCCAGAGCCGGTTGTCGGGGTGGCGGCGGCGATGGGGATTGGAGCGCGTGGGCGTTGAGAGGGTATCGCTGTAAGGGGGCACCACCATGCTCCCGCCATAGCCTGGTCCCAGTCGACTTCGGCCGGCAATCCTGTGATGGCCACAACTGGATGGAGGTAGATGTGGGGTGGCCAAACGGGTGGGATCTGGGCGCCGCATCAACATGCCAAAATTGTAACCAATCAGGGGTTCTTCCCTGGTTTCAGTTACGGAACCTGTTGCCAGGTGATGCTAATCGGTCTGATTAGCTCCCGTCATTTACGGGAGTAGTGGCATGAGGGCACTGTGACGACAGTTCGGGATGACGGGTAGATTGGCTATCTTTCTTCCCTGCTACCGGCGCGTTGGTGCTGCTGAAAGCTTCGATCGGCTTCTCTTACAACTTGTGGTGATGTTCTTCTGTAATAGCAATGATGATGTGTTAGACTCTGGAAGACTTATTCATTTTTGTTTTCGTTTTTGGCAAACTTTGTGGCATTGCTTCGTGGAGAGAGAGA